GTCCCAGCGCGATCGACCGTGCCTCAGCCCCGTCTCCCACTAACCCCTCAGCTCTCACACGTGAGTTTTCCTCTCTCCTGCTTCCCCCAGCCCTAACTCACCATCCTCCAAAAATGATTTAATTGTCTCTGTCACAGGCGGTGCCTCGTCATGGGGAAGGCACTTCCCCAGCCCATCGCCCCCCAGGGTCGAGCCGTGCTCAATGTATTATTTTAATCAGCTCTGCTCCTGGAATGATCATCAAATCATAGAATCACTGAGGTTGGGAAAGACCTTTAAGATCATCAAGTCCAACCGTTAACCCAAGACTGCCAAGTCCACCCCTAAACCGTGTCCCTAAGCCGTCTTTCAAATACCTCCAGGTGGTGACTCAACCCCTTTTCTGGGCAGCCTGTTCCAGAGCTTGACGACACTTTCAAGTGAAGAAATTTTTCCCAATATCCAGTTTAAACCTCCCCTGGGGCAGCTTGAGGCCATTCCCTCGGGGCCTGGCGCTGGGGCCTTGGCTCCAGAGACTCATCCCCCCTCTCTGCCCCCTCCTGGCAGGGAGTTGCCGAGGGCCAGGAGGTCTCCCCTCAGCCTCCTCTTCTCCAGACTGAACCCCCCCAGTTCCCCCAGCTGCTCCCCAGCAGACCTGTGCTCCAGACCCTGCCCCAGCTCCGTTGCCCTTCCCTGGCCACGCTCCAGCACCTCAAGGTCTTTATTGCAGCGAAGGCCCCAAAACAGAACCCAGAATTTGAGGTGCAGCCCCACCAGAGGGACAATCCCTTTCCTAGTCCTGCTGGCCACGCTAGTGCTGCTGCAAGCCAGGATGCTGTTGGCCGCCTTGGCCACCTGGGCACACTGCTGGCTCATATGCAGCCACCTGTTGACCAACACCCCGAGGTCCTTGTCCACCCGGCGGCTTTCAGCCGCTCTTCCCACAAGCAAGTTGTGACCCGAGTGCAGGACCCAGCACTGAGCCTTGTTGAACCTCAGCTGCCCCATCGCTCCGGCCTGAGCAGACCCCTCTGCAGAGCCCTCCCACCCTCCAGCAGAGCGGCACTCCCACCCAGCTTGGTGTCATCCGCAAGTTGACTGAGGGTGCCTCGATCTGCTCATCCAGTGGTAGATGTGAACCAGAACTGGTCCCAGTACCGAGCGCTGGGGAACACCGGTCGTGACCGGCCGCCAACTGGGTTTGACTCCATTCACCCCCCACTCTTTGGGCTCAGCCACCAAGTCAGATTTTACCCAGAGAAGGGTGCGACCGTCCAAGCCTCGAGCAGCCAGCTTCTCCAGGAGAACGTTGTGGGAAACAGTGCCAAAGGCTTTACAAACGTCCAGCGAAACAGAACCCGCAGCCCTTCCCTCGGCCGCTAAGCGGGTCGCCCTGTCATGGAAGGAGATGTGGCTCGTCACGCAGGATCTGCTGTTCATAAACCCGTCCTGACTGGGCCCCACCACCCTCCGGTCCTGTACGTGCTGCGTCACGGCGCTCAAGGTGATCTGCTCCGCACCCTTCCCCAGCACCGAGGTCAGGCCGACAGGCCTGTAGTTCCCCGGACCCTCCTTCCAGCCCTCGTCACCCGAGACCTCCCCGGTGAGCCAGGACTGTCCATAAATGATGGGAAGTGGCCTGGTGAAAACTTCCACCAGCTCCTCCAGCACCCCTGGGGGGATCCCCTCCCACCCCGTAGACTTGCGCATGTCTAAGGGGTGCAGGAGGTCACTAACCATTTCCCCCGGGATTACGGGGGCTTCATTCTGCTCCCTGCCCCTGTCTTCAGCTCAGGGGGGTGGATACCCCCCCAAAAAAACCCCAGTCTTACTCTTACAGACTGAGGCAAAGAAAGCATTAAGCCTTTCCCTCAGCCTTTGTCACGACGTTTCCCTCCGCATCCAATAATGGATGGAGATTCTCCTTAACCCTCCTTCTGTTAATGTATTTATAGAAACATTTTTTACTCAATAAGAGGCAAAGAGATTCATTGAAAGCGACTGCAATTCCCGCGCGCCGGTGCCGGGGAGAGGGATGGTTTAACCAGAGGAGTCCCCTCCCGGGGCTCGTGACTTCGTGCTTTGCCTCCGCGTCGGGGTCGTGGCTGTCACGCTCCTCGGGCGACACTTTAATTACACCCAGGACCTGGTAGAAAGATGGTTCTCGCCGTGCTTGAGATGTCGAGAGCAACCCCAGGCTGCTGGCAGGGAGGATTTAGGCTCGTTGGGGGAGATGGAAACTCGTGCTTTGCTGGGCGATGATTATAATGGCAATAAAACATATGGCCAGCGCCGTGTGCTGTGGTCTGCAGGCCATAAAGCACAGGTAACGAGCCCGGGGCTGCCACGGGGTTGATTGAGGTGTCTGGGGTGTTGTGGGGTGGGGGGAACCCCTCTGGCTCCCTCCTGCAATGGGGAATAGCGGAGTGGGACTGGGAGCGGGCGCTGCTTCCCCAGGGAGCTGCCCGACCCCGGGGTCGCTGCCTGGCCGGTGCCCGTGGCTGGCAGGAGGGTGCTGAGCACCCCAGGGTGGGGACCGTCCCTCTGGGACCATGCTCCGTCCCACCCCGGCTGATGGACGGGGCAGCACCAGGGATGCGCTCGGGATGAAACGTCACGGTGAAGCGAAACCCTCGGGTGTCCTGGCGGGGCTCTCCTTCCTAATCGTCCTGGTTTGCCCAGGCCTAATTCATAAATCAGCAGGCGCGAGTAATTTCCCCAGGAGAGCATTTAGACGGGAGATTGAATGAGTAATTTACTGGGAACATTAAGACGGCACCAGATAACTTATTTATGAGAACTTTTTGACAGATCTGCCACTCAATAATTTATGCTGCGCAGCATTTAGTCAGGGTCACCAGTAAATAATTCACTTTATTATAAACTATAGAAGGTTTTATGAGACGTTGAGTTATTATCTCGCCCCGGATTCGGGGCTGTAAATATGAAACCAAGGATGTCCCAGTAAGGGAGGTGGCCCTGGAATGGGTGTGCTGAGGCCCGATGCTGTGGCACGCTCGGTGCAGGGGCTGTGCCGGGATGTGTTTGGGTCCTGCTGGGTGTCGGGGGACTGTTGGCCACTGCGGTGGCCTCCGGGAGGAAGAGGCATTGCCACGGATGAGGAAACTGGGTTCCACTTGGAATCCTCGAGGAGTTTTTATTGGAGCGATCTTGGCTTTCCCCAGATGGGGAAACTGAGGCAGAGCAGCCACCGCTCCCGCAGCCCTGGATTCGGGCTCATCGCTGCCGTGGGGCTGGGCCCTGTGGTGTGATGATGCTGGGGGGCTCAGACCCCACTCTTGGCCCCACTGAGACCCCCAGCTCAGTGGCTTTGTCCCTGGTCACGATGTGGATGGCCACCACCAGCATCAGCAGCGGCCCGAAGACGGCGGCCACGAGATACCCCTTCACCACGCAGTACTGGTCCTGCACCCCGCACCCCCCTGACCCCCCACCATTGCCCGGGGGCTGCCCCCCACCTGCGCCCCATGTCACGGTGTCGGCAGCACGGGGCTCGGTCACTCCCCGGGGTCCCGCCGTGCTCCTGCTGTGTCCTCCTGCGTCACTGGGCCCGGTCGTCGTCGCGGGTGA